ATGACCGCGAACAGTATAAATCTGTCTCTGTTTCTCCTGAGAATAAGAAACGTGTGTCTCCTCCGGCATATATCGAAATGCAGGGCGACACCTCGTCTGGGGAAGAACAGGTGATCCCGAAACAACCCTCGCCAGCCGACGTTGTTCCCTCTACACCTGTAGATGCAGGTTCAGAGACCTCCGAACTCCCAACTACAAATACCCGAGGAAGCAAGAGGAAGAGGAAGCGAAGTACTCATTCCGTTGAGACTCGCAGCAAAAAGAGACGGTCTACCAACCTACCTGGACAAGAACAGGTTGAGAACAGCCAGCCAACGTCTCAAGAACCAAACTCGCCTATACCAACCGTACGACGCTCATCAAGACGAAACGCAGGGCTGAAAGACAAGGAGTTGCGAAACCAAAAGGCTCAGGCGTCGCCAACCAAGAAATCAAAACGATCGTCCGTGTCCCAAGCGCTACAAACAAGATCAACCCATACCGATACGCGGGATGGCGGAGATACAGACGAGGAATTAATGTCACAACTCGTGACAGAGTCCATTGCAGCCACGCAGAGTCAGGATTTGGATGTCAAAATCCCTGACGCGGTTGTTGAAGACTCTATGGATGTTGTGTCAGTCGAGGAAGCAGCGTCCACGCAAGAGCTTACAGCACAGGACCAGGAGGGCTCTGTGGAAGAGACCCAAGACGCAGTGGCTGAGCAAGGCGAAACAGAGGAGGAAGTCTCGGTTGAAGTCAAATCAGATTTGATCATGGAGACATTGCGTGGTGGACTGAAACAACTACAAGGAGCAGCACTATCCCGTGATGAAGTATACCGTTTGGAAGATATGTTGATGGATATGAAGAGAGAACTCTTCGAAGCTGAACGACGAGGAAGACTTTGAGGCATGCATGACTTAGCGACTGAAAGCATTGTTTATTGGGTGTTTGGAGATTTGATTTGGGTTTTGCTTGTATTATATATAATACCTTCCTGTACAGAGTTATCTGACTTGAATGCTGTCGCGTAACGTCTCTCAGCGATGCATAGAGCATAGATATCATTACATAGATGGGAATCAATCAAAGAGATGATCACATGAGAAGTCTAAGCTAGTCTCGCTGAACCTTTTTGACCCTGCATACAATTACGTAGCGTATTCGTTCTTAAGAACGGTTATGGATGGGGATGATAATGTGGAGGATCGTAAGGGGGATGTTCGGATTATGTGAATGTGTAATTTAAATCGAGCTCAACTGCTTCATATTCTTTTGACTACCTAGTATTCTGCTTTATGCTGACTTCAACTATTAGTTTATATGTTTTTTCCCGGATTGGCTATCACTTGTCTTCTCATGTTTATCACGCGGCAAAAAATAATAGGAGAGCAATAATTTTTAATCGTTAAAACGCAACGTGAAGGATGAAATTTCTTTTTCATTTCAGACCGTTAAGCCATCAATCACCATAGCCTATACGATCTGAAGTGTCCTAACCGGCCAACCTATGCAATGAAACACAATGGATTCGTGACTCCGCGGCACCAGTTTCCAGCTCCCATCAGTTCATAAAACATTCCCGCTCTAGTATCGCTTGCCCTCGCGCAGAGTATCGGCGAACTCGTCCAGGGGACTTCGGATGAGCTTGGTCTCCTTCCAGAGGTTAGGGGTGAGGAATCCGTAGGTGTTGGAGACGGCAACGAAAGTGGCCTTGAGGGTGTTCTCGAGGGTCTTGGTGGAACCGGCAGAGGATGTGTAGGCGTCCTCGACACCGGCGAGCTGGAGGAATCGCTTGACAGCGGGAGAGGCAACGAGGCCAGTACCACGGGGAGCGGGGATGAGCTATATATATTGTCAGTTTTCTTCATTTCTTCTAAACGGAACTGTCGATTCTTCGCTTGGGTTGTACGTACACGAACGGTGACGGAACCGCACTTGCCGCTCTCCTTGGTGGGGAGAGAGTGGACGGCACCAAGGTTGGTACCCCAGTAACCACGTCGGACGGGGATGACGCTGAGCTTAGCGATGATGATGGCGGCACGGATGGCGGTGGCAACCTCCTTGGAGGTCTTGATACCGAGACCGACGTGGCCCTCGGAGTCACCAATGATGACAATGGCCTTGAATCGGGTTCGCTGACCGGCACGGGTCTGCTTCTGGACGGGCTTGATCTATAATTCAAGGAAAAGGACACAAGTTAGCATAACTATTCCATCTCGTCTTCGTTTGTCTCTCCGAGCGTCTCGTTCGATTTTCGTTCTTCGAAGATAATCGCAAAGTGATTCGGAGGGGTTTTTGTTGTTCGCACCTTCATGACCTCATCCTTGAGCTTGGGCAGGAAGTTGTCGACGATCTGGTACTCCTTGATGGGCAGAGAGTGAAGGTAGATCTCCTCCATGCTGTTGATCTTGCCGGCCTTGACGAGACGACCGAGCTTGGTGACGGGCTGCCACTCCTTCTCCTCGTTCTTACCGCGACCTTTTCTAAAATCAGAAAATAACCCCCAAAAAGAATTAACACAAGACTTTGAACTCACCACGGCCACGGCCACGACCGCGTCCACGTCCACGGTCACCACCTCGGGAAGCGAAGCCTCCACCGCGAGAAGTTCCTCGGTCAGCCATTGTGTCTGATTGTGTTGATTGAGCTGGGGGGTGGGAGGGAGAAGTTAGGTGCTACGCAAGAGCAAAGTGATGGTGTTGGCGTTCAATGGTATCTTTTTCGCTGGCGGGGGTCCGGCGCACAATTTTGGCAATTTAGCGAGCCCTAATGAGTGGATCTGCCTGATACTTTAGGCCAACAAATTGTTCTCAGGAAGGTGAGAAAAGGTGGGGTTAGTTCTTCACCTTGTGGCTCACCGAAATTGACAGGGATCTACTTCTCGGTCGGTCGGTCAAAGAAGCCACCCCGCCAACCCGCCCATCATGAATGATCGGCAAACTTCAACTACAATCGACACCCTGGTCCGAAATAAACATCACTTCAAGTATCGTACACTACTATACATGAACAGTTCCATCAACCATTCGTTTCGTTGTATACAGACTATACTCAGAAACTATACAGGGTAACTAACAAAAGCCATTTTTCACTTCCATCGCAGAAAACACAAGTCGTTGCACAGCAGAGTGACTTGAACCATAGAGGGGAATGGGGTATGCATGTTCTTCGTACGCGCCTAGCAACTCCAGGCCATCATTAATGAGGGTATCGCAGCTCAACTACCACGTATTCCGACTTTTTACAGATAAACTACCAGGTCGTATTACTCTTTTGCTGTTTTGATAATCAGGTTTTCTGAAGGTTGCACCCGTTGGGCCCACTCGCTGTTATATCAGTTAGCGCAATTCATATCAGGAAATGTCTGAGTGAGATACTTACGTCCAGCTACCATCGTAGACCTTCCTGAATTCGGGTGATCCAACTCCGGCCTCCTCAAGAGCAGTGTCGATAACACAAGCTGTCACACCAGTACCGCAGCTTGAGACAATAGGATGTTGCGAATCGACACCCTTCTCAGCAAAAAGTTTCTTGAGTTCATCCCTAGGAAGGAAAGCCTTAGTCTTGGGATCCAGCACAGAACTGAAGGGAATGTTGATAGATCCAGGCATGTGACCAGATGAGAGACCTTCGCGGGGCTCGGGAGCCTCGCCAGTGAAGCGATTTTGAGGTCGGGCATCAATGACCTGAACGCCCTCAGCGCCCTCCTTGTTGTGATCCTGGGCAATCTCCTTCATCTGCTCGAAACTTGCGACACCGTCCTCATTCATGCCAGGAATCTGGTAGGGGCGGCATTCGACAGTATAGATCTCTCCTGACTCAGTTGGTAAACCCTGTTCCACCCAGAGCTTGAAGTTGTTTAGGACGTGGACGTTGTTGTGGCCGAAAACCTTCAATGTCCAGCCCACGCGAGGAGCGCTGAAGATGCCAAGCTCCTTGCTGTCGTAGACCACGACTGTGTCCTCTTTTCGGATTCCTAGCCCGCTCATGGCAGCGGCGAAGGTCTTGGGGTTGGGAAGCATGTGAGGGTAGGGACTGCGCCTGTCAATGTGCTTGTCGAGGTCGAAGAATCGGGCCTTGGGGATTCGCTGCTCGCGAAACGTCTCGATTCCGGATCGTCCGTCATTTGGCAGGAACCATGATGCGCAGAGAGGAATGACTCGAGGATCGGTGCTGATCGTTGACGGAGGGTTCTTTTGAAGGGCCTCGTGAAGCTCTTTCGGCGAAACAAGGTATGATGAGAGGTTTCGACGTGTGAGGAGGGTAGGTCGGGAAACCTTGGAACTCCATTGGTAAATGCCTGCTCTTGTTGAGCGACTGAATGCGACGGACGCCATCGTGGATATGACGTGTGTCGAGTTGTGAGGAAGAAATTGGTGTTGCGAACGCTCAGTTACCTGACGTAGGGCAAGTTCCTGAGTGGATGATAAGAGTCAGAGTCAGCCAAGTGAGCTATAAAAAAAAGCAAGTCGGGTGTCGAGAGGAAGATAAGACAGTTAGCAAACGGCTTAACTGTCCGCCTGCTTCCACATTAATCCGTGAGAACTAAAATTCTAAGAAAGGGTAAAGTTGAAGTGAGGTAAAGTTGATGACGGGAGGTTAACAGCCAATCGAGTCAACTTTGAATGGTGGGTGATGTGGGCGATAATCGAATTGCAGCAGATTGGAGCTTGGACCACCACCATCAGTCATTTCAGACGTTGAATTATGACGAATTGGCAGAGGGTTTTACAGTGGGTTGCAGGTTTATCAGTGGGATGAGGTCACTGGAGCCTTAAGTAGATAGGCGCCCACCCTGCCACCACAGGCTGCCCGCGCACCTACCTTTGCATCCAGTGGATGAATCCACTCTATCCGTCTGGGCCTCTCCCTGCGTTAGTGCTTCAAACCTTGACCCTTCCTCACTCCAAAGGTTACATGGCCATTCTCGCTTTGGCTTTGGCTTTGGCGTTTAATCTTTTCCTCAACTCCAAGAATTCAACCTCTTCCCTGTACAGACAAAGAGGCAAAACACCATGAAGGTCACCATCAAGAAGTGGAATTCCGTCGCTACCTGGCGCTGGGACTTACCGGAAGACGATGTTTGTGGTATCTGTCAGGTCCACTTTGATGGGACGTGTCCGACTTGTAAATATCCAGGTGATGACTGCAGCTTGTGTAAGTAAACATTGGCCCTGTTCCATTGAAACGAACTCTACTGATACAGTATTAGTGTCAGGGAAATGCGGACACAACTTCCACATGGTTCGAGCTAACCCAACCTTATCTCTCTTATTGTCATGGGCATTGCTGACTATGTTTGCCTTTTGTTCAGCACTGTATCATGGAATGGATCAAGCAAGATTCGTCCAGGGGGCAATGCCCCATGTGTCGTCAACGTACGACCTCCCTTGAAAACAAAATAGCACCCGTGCTTGTGGTACTCAAGCTGACATGATATACAGATTTTGAGTGGAATGGGCAAGTGAAAGAGACGGTCGCGCAAGCCGAGTAAAGGCCATTATCAGTTACATTATGCAAGGTGTCAGGCGTTTCCCAGGGCGTTCAAAGAATCCTGTCAGACATGGTCGGTAGGGAAAATGTGCAAATCGTTCTCGGCCACCTACTGGCTGGTTTACTACGTGTGACTTGTGCCTTGATTGCTGAGCCATGCACAACTCAGCGGGCAGTGTGAAGCAACCCACACAGCCTCACTCGACCAAGCTGACTGCATCAGTCAACAGTTGAGCCTCCAAGTTGATTTTATTCCCAGGCAGTTTTTCGTAATTAATGAAACTCGAGAGTAGATCACGCATGGTATGAATTAAGAATCTTTGTTAATTTCGTTTCGGATTCGAACAATTCTTAGAAGGTTACTGTTAAGTAGCAAGTAGTTTCCTCGAGTTCTCCTCAGCCACGATTGGTCAACCAACTCTGGCCCGAGTTGCTCGTATGCTGTATATTATCAAGCCTGTGCACAATCTCCCGCCTTCAAAAGGATCTTCTGCCAAGCATGCAAGAAACGGATTCCAAGTTGAAATGGTCTCGTAAAATGCAACTTTGGATCCGCCGAGTTGCACTTTTGGGGGCGGTCGTCGCCTTAAATACTTGCATCTCAGCTCTGTGGTTCGCAACCAATTAAGGCAACGGCGCACCTGCGCAGAACAGGCCTCCAACATAAATGCATGCCTGGCCCCCATCCATGGCTTTTACTTTCGCCTTCGTTACAATACCCGGTATCGTTTTGCGACATCTCATTCCCATTTATCCTTTCTTTTGCTAAATCTAGTTTCGAAAGATACTTCGTTTAGTCTTTACAACTACCTATCTGCTTAGCTACAGTTTCAGTTCCAAACAATTACCAATAAACAAGACATTACCAGCTGAGAATAGTAAAGCTGCGCCACACATCAACCGCGGCGATTTCCTCATATCAGCCAAGCGTTACAATGTTTCCCTATCCTACGCCAGCACCCGACATTAACAACCAATTCCAATCCCAGGGCACTCCCTACAACAAGCCGGTGGCCAACTTTACCTGGGCTATGCCAGGAGGTCTCAACGCCATCAATACCAACAACCTCTCACAGTATGGATACACTTCAGAATCGCCTCTGGTCATGAGTGCCTCGTCCAATGGCTTCCCAAGCTCAGACTTCGTCCTTCTAAGTCGATCCAACTTCAACCCCCAACTCAACTTCCCAACAGCCACTGAGTGGGCATGGCCAAATACGCAATATGTGTCATCTTCGCAATTTCTTGTTCCAACAGGTACTCCCCAAGCTAGGGAAGTTCTGGCCAAGTTACGGACTTGCATTCACCTGTTTCTCAGTACCAGGCTGATACTGCGAAACGTTCGCCAGAAGAACCGGCGACACAGCGCTTCGGATTGCCCCCCATGGGCTACTGGTCCTAAAATCGTCGGCTATGCAGGTCCGACTCTAAATACATCTTGTTCAGACACTGCCGTCTTGGGTAGCCTATCAAATGAACACCAAGCCAACTTGTTCAACTACCCCGACTATAACTACACTAACGCGGACAATCCCTTGGGCATACTAAGTAGTAGCGGCAATCTACTGCTGCCGCCGCAAGAACGTATACCTCGGAAGGTAACAGAACTTCATGAGGAAGATGGGGTCCCTCCTGTGGCGCGGGGGCTTCCCGATTTGACGGTTAAACTCAATGCATCTGGGAATGCTAAGGCCCGAACTCAGCGAAAAGCCTCCAACTCCAAGCAGTCTAAAAAACGTCCACTTGAATGCGTGGACGTTGAAGGATCTTCAGACGACGACACCGACGAGGGGCTCAAGGACAAGAAGCGGCCCAGGGGATCTTCGACTGCACCACGTTTTGCATGCCCTTTCTTCAAGCACGACCCAGTCAAATTTGGAACTTCAAGAAGCTGTGTCGGTCCTGGGTGGAAGTCAGTCCACAGAGTCAAGTAAGGCATCTTCCTTGATATATATAGAAGTCAACTAACATCTAATAGGGAGCACGTGTTTCGGAACCACAAGCTTCCTGAGCATCAATGCCTTCGCTGTTTCAAGGCATTTGGGTCCGCCAATGCCCTTTCCGATCATTCGAGGTCGTTTGATCAATGCCAAGTCCAGAGCGGCACTGTTCAAGAAGAAGGTATCAACGCAAGTCAGGAGAAGCTGTTGCACGTCAGGGCCAAGAAAAACAGTGCCGCTTCTCATCTTAAAAAGGTCGAGGAGGAAAGATGGAGTGAGATGTACAAAATCATCTTTCCAAATGAGGAGCAGCCCTCCTCGCCGTGTAAGTGCTGAAGTGTTCAACCACTGACACCGACCAAGCTCGATACTGGCGGGAATGCTAACGGTAACCGATGCAGACTACACTCGCACTCAGCTAACGATTGATGAATTCGGAAGAAACATTATGGATGATTTCGAACAACGTCTATCAGCTAGAGCGGGCTGCTTAGGAATACAGCCGTCTCTTCTGGCTAGGCTCCTTACAATGACTCGCAGTGTGCTCCAGGAGAGTGTGCAGTCTTGTCAACAGGGCGATGAAAATTCCGGCAGTCAGTGCTCTCAGTTGACAGCTGCCCAACCCCAGCTCTCACAGCCGAGTCTATTCGTAGGATCGCAGTTGCCAGGTATTAGCAACGACATGTTGGAATTTAACGAGCAGTCAGTGGCACAGATTTTCTCTGATCCCATGTTTGGTATTAGCCAGGCAGGTTTCTGGAATACTTTATGATTTTGAAAGGGCGGAGATACCAAATTGTTCTTGAGTTTTTGGGTACCTGTTGTTTTTATCGCCATGCAGGTCATGATAGACAGTCCACAAGATAGACGTGCAAAGCCGGCGTTTTGGATTCGGGACATTCTACCCCAGTACTGTTGAGAGTTTCTAGATAATACGGAGAGCCTCCATATATCTCTATTACTTTCAGGACTGAAGCATGTCGAAAAACTATGGAGACTCTGAGACTTGGTTGATTTTGATGCCGTTATTAATTCTGTCTGGTCGAACTACCTGAAGTAAGTACCCAACCAAGGCCCCTTTAATACAGTCGCAGCATAATCTCCTGAACAGAGCGAATGGCCCAATATGCATATCGTGAGTTTTCCCACGAATATCTGATCTACCAGAATTCAAAGCAACTATAATGCCAATCCCGCCGTGTATAATCATTTCCCAAGCATGACTTTCATAGTCCAAAAGTTAAAGCACTGGAGCGCTTTGTGCGTCTCGCCTTTACACGACAAGGCGGTCCCTGTCCTCCCTAAGATTCTGGGATGTAGACTCCGTCTTTACACAAAACAACCACCTTTTTGAAGAACCGTCTCCATTCAAGGGGATCTCCTTTAACCTTGACGAAACGTATATCGAGAATCTCGGTATCGTCTTGTAGAGGTTGTCGATCGATCTGGATCTCACCATGCAGATTCTGCTGGCGTCCATCTAAAGCCCTGACTTTCATATGCGCAACCGGGCTGCCGTACAGATTTGGTGAAACAGGGGCTGCTGGAATGTTGAGGTGATGGAGAGCATCACTGAGCATTTGGACGATATGAGCTGGTGGGACAGCAGAGAAGAACCGGGTGAGAGATTCTGGGGGGCAGATATCACGAAATCGACGGGCTTGTTGCGTAAGAGTCATGGAGGGACCGGGAGTTTGCGAGAATTGCGACATTGAAGGCTCATCAGCAAGGATATCAATCATGGCTCGACGAGAATGCGGTAATGAGGATGCTGGTGAAGCCACGGACTTCAGTGGTGTGCGTTCCCAATCCCATTCCTTGTCGGCGATGGGCGTCTCAGGTTGAGTGGAGGAGAACTTTCCAGCATTCAGGCCAGTGTCGAGGTCCATATTGTCGCTGGAAGAAGGCTGCGATGTTGGCTGATGAGTAAAGTCGATGCGGAGGTTCTCCAACATCTGCGTCGCCAAGTTGATGGGATCTGTAACTCGACCATCCGCACTAAGGAGAGCGTTGTGTCTCGTATACCAGGGATGTTGGCGTACTTGGGTGAAGTTGAATCGTTTTGAAGCGTCAATGCTCATCATTCCTCGGAGTAATGAAAGAGCTTCCGCAGGTATCCTGCCCCAAAGCGCGTCGGTACTTCGACCAGATGTGCGAACGTATTCTTGGAACTCCCAGCTTCCCGGTGAGGGCTCATCCCAGGGTGTGTTACCAATGAGCAAGACGAACAGAATGACACCACAGGACCATACATCAACCAGGTCTGGGGAGTACTTGGCAGCATCCGGTACCTTCTTGTCCCCACGCCCGCAGGCGAGGATCTCAGGAGCAATATAGGGGGGACTGCCACACAATGTCGAGCTCAGCTTTCGTTGGCCCTTGTACTCGAACATGGTAGCCATTCCAAAATCGGCAAGTTTTAAAGATCCGTCGGATGAGAGAAGTATATTCTCCGGCTTGAGGTCACGATGTGCCACGCCCTTGGAGTGCATGAAGCTCACGCCGCTGATGAGTTGAACAAAGTAGACTTGAGCGATATCCTCTCGCACGCCGACATCAGCCTCAATCTTGTCGAATAGATCACCACCTTCTGCGTACTCCATGGCAATCCATCGCCATACGTCGTCTTCGCCCGAAGCAAACCACTCGATGATGTTGGGATGTTGGCCGATGTGTGAATGGAGAGACACCTCCATGGCGAGCTGCTTGGCTGAGATGCGACCATGTTTAGTAGCGTAGCCTTTGTGAATAAGCTTGACGGCGAATATTGGTGTTGTTGCTTCGAGTGGAATGGCTTTCTTGATACTACGTCTAATTAGTGCGATTTCAACCATGAATGCCCGGTGATGAGGTATCTAACGATGCATATGCTCCTCGGCCCACGGTCTTGGAGACAATCCGAAAGGGAAGATCATTTGGTAAAGAATCTAATTGTGACTACGCATTGAAACCAGTGTTAGTTAGTGAATCCTCTGGTAAGATCGTATGAGAAATGCATCTGTCATAGCAGTCATAGGTAGTATCAGTGAATCATTGATTCACGATCCGTGCTCAACGCTCGCTAGAAGCTACCGAGAGAGAACGACATGGCAGATGCAATTCATCAAGAATCAAGTAATGAATGTATGACGCACCATGACGAAACTCTTATGTATCCTGGACAGATGCTGGTGCTGTTGTTCCCTATTCAAAATACTGAATCTGTCCAATTGATTGGATTAGGGTATGTATGGTTATGATGCATGGTTCCCTGGATGAACGATGAACGCGTTATTTCCCATCGCGCCTACTACCATCCACCGCGTAAAGTACTTTTTGTTGCTGCGAGACCCTAGTCCCTTAAACACAGCGGCACTTGGCGCCCTGTGCAGCCTCTGACAGCGTGTCATCCTCTATGGTTTCAGCGCCGGTTTCTTCTGTGAGGTTCTATTGGCTGTGAATCTCTCTGTTTGGGGTCAGTGATAGACATTGCCTGGACCCTAGTCGTGTCGGTTGCTGCGGTAAACAATTGGAGCCTGGATCTAAAGAAATCGTTCACCTCCATACAATTCTGTCGCTCCAAAACAATCAAGCAAGCAAATCAAGTCATTTCAGTTCAAGACCTTCCCGCTTTCATCTTTAGGTCTTTCCTCACATACGCTACTGCTAAAGGGCCTTTATTTCCCCCAGTCGCCCCTGCATCCGTCCAACTTCACCCCTTGCCAGTTGCGGAATTGTCTGCACCTGTACTGTACATAAACAACATCCTACTCGCCCCCCTGCTCCTACGATAGCATCTCTCTTCTGGTGTTCTCTTGTTTTATCATCATCTCTTGATTTCCCAAGTAACCATCGCCATCAACATCACACAATGGAGTACAATATGGAAGACAGCCAGAACCTTGCTCCCCAGGCTGCCAAGCTCAACTCTGGTTCCAAGGGTCCTGATTCTCAGAGCACCACCAAGAGGTGAATACACGTCCCGAGACATTGAAAGTCATTCGATATACTAACTTGACCCAGACTCCAGACCGAGTTGATGCAGCTCATGACATCGCCCGCCCCTGGTGTTTCTGCCTTTCCCTCTGCAGACGGCAACCTCCTATCATGGACTGCCACTATCGAGGGCCCTGAAGACACCCCTTACTCTGGTCTGACCTTCAAGCTCAGCTTCGCTTTCCCCTCCAACTATCCTTATGCGGCACCCACGGTGCTCTTCAAGACACCCATCTACCACCCTAATGTCGACTTCTCCGGCCGTATCTGCTTGGACATCCTCAAGGACAAGTGGACTGCCGCTTACAACATCCAGACTGTTCTCCTCAGTCTGCAAAGCTTGCTTGGTGAGCCCAACAAGTACGTATAGAGATCAAACCCTGTGATAAAGTAGATGACTAACATATAAACTAGTGCCTCTCCCCTCAACGGCGAGGCTGCTGAGTTGTGGGACAAGGACGCCGAGGAGTTCCAAAAGAAGGTGCTGGCACGTCACGTAGATGTCGAGGACGAGTAAACAGTTTTTACTGAGGTTTCGGTGCTTTGATACTTGAATATGGGAACAGGAGTACCAGGTGTATGGAATTTGGTTTGATGACTTGTTAGGATTACAGGATTGCATGGCATTTCTACAGCTGGACAAACAGCAATGGAAGAGAGGCATTGATGGGGTCAGAAATAAATAGACCATTGTCGATAGCAGACCCTCTACTCGACAGTTCATAACATCCAGTGTTCACCACGTCGGAACGTAAATGATTTTTCGCCCTCATAAAAAAAGCCTTGCTTGACCAGAGACCACTTCACGCCGAGGCACCGATTGTCGTTTAGTTTGACTTCAAGCTTTGATCACATTTTTTCCCTCTGTGTATTTTCAGCGTCGAAAGCCAGAATGCCGAATGCAACTCCAAATGCCATGCCACCCTAGAACCTTGTCCCAAGAGAAAATTTTTATATTTATTCCTCAACAACAACCGTGGGGAGGCCCTTGGGGTCCTTGACGTTCACGGCCTGGACGTAGCTGTACAGCTTCTCCTTGGCACCCTCCTCGTCGTTTCGTCGTCGGGAAATTCGCACGCGGATTCGGTAGTCGACACCCTTGACACCCTGCTCCCAGACCTTCTTGTTGAGCTGAGGGTCGATGCGGACATCGGTGGTACCCTGTGGTGATGGTTAGCGCATGTGACGTTGAGATAGCACCTCTGCCTTGTGCGTTTGCTTCGCGTTCGGTAGCAGGTTTCTTTCTTGGTGTGGGCGGTCGTACCATAGACTTGTAGGCAAAGGCCTTGATCTCCTTGATGGCCTTGGGAGCCCTCTTCTTGAAGGAAACACCATGGAGCTTTTTAATCCATTAGCATTCAATCCTGATAATCAAGCTCCGGTGCTCGAGCTATTCATTCTCTGGGCGAAGCAACATACTCGCTTGTGCATGTGGATGGTGTACTCGCGGGCGACGACATCCGCAATGGCGGAGCGCTGAGTCTTGCCGGAGGGCTTCTTGGTCGACGACATGGCTGAAATGTGAATGTTAGTCCTTCGGTCGACGAGTGTGTGAAAAGTCGAAGCGCTCGTAGTCTCAAGAAGAGGTAGGACTGCGAGGGAGAAGTTGTCGGGGTCTTTCGTACCTGCGGCTCGTCTCTTCAAGGTCGGTCGTTGAGAGGTTTGTGATGTTCTATCGATGGGCGAAATCCCAAATTGTGCGTGAACAGCCCTCGAATTTCGGGCGGTGGGGGTGAAAGCGAACCAATTGAGCGCAGCCCTGATGGCCCACCGATAGATCACGTGTTGGTATCCATCTCACAATTTTGGCTTAACTAAACTTGGTCTAGGGGTTGGTATGGTCCACATCAAGCCTACGGTGGCTGTTTATCGCGAAGCATTGCGTTGGATCCATCTAATCTTGGCCGTTAGCTTTGAACTGCATAACGACTTCCTCATTCCATACTCGGACAATCCATTTCAAAGCACCGCATATCTCACGTTCTTTGCACTTAAGCGCTTCTCTCTCACTCCTTTGGGATCGCTTTTTCTCAAGACAGTGCTGCGGTTGCTTCTCCGAAATCTAGCGGCCTGTCGTCGGCATAATAAGGGGAATTTCGCGTATTCGACTCTTCAGTGGTTCATCTGCGCGCCAAACTGAACGCCTCTTTTCATTTAACGTTTCCTCCCAACCTCGACACAACCATAAGACGTCGCCTGACATGGCCGAACACGAACCTGTGAACCCGATGGCATCGCCTTCGCCTCAACCTGACATGACGAGAAACCGACTGCCTACGCTCTTTGAGGTCTTGAGTCGTCGCACTCTGCCTCCTGTTGACCTCTTCTCATTCTATATTTACATGCGCGATCAACAGCGATCTGTTGATTACCTTGATTTTTGGTAGGTTTGTTTCGAGCTTTGTTTCATGTGGATTTTGTCTGACATGACCAGGCTCGATGTCGCCCAGCACATGTCACTGTGCCGACATTATGTTCGTGAACTTCGACGATCCGTGCTTATTGGCACTCCTGAGGCGCAGTCCAAGCGATCTTCAGCTATTCTAGAAAATATTGGCGACTTGGAACCCAGAGCTGCCGGCCCGTCCATGTACGCAACTGAGAAGGAGAAGAACCAGGATGCACAGATGTCAGCTTTCCTTAGAGAGGATCAAAGCCACGATTCACCCCAAAGCGCTACCGGGCCTATGCGACCCAGCCCCCAGTTCAGCAACTCCCACGATATCACCACCGAATCCAACTCGCCTGCTCATACTGTTGCGCGACAGGATATCCGAGCCTCGGCTGAGAAGATTCTCTACACTTTCCTTCTGCCTGGTGCTGAGCGAGAAATCACCCTTCCTGGTTCCATCACCCAGGAGGTCACTGCTGCCATTGAAGAGTATGGCCGTGACGATCCTGAAGTTTTTGACGTTGCCAAGGACTATGTTTTCCAGGCCATGGAGCGAGATGCCTTCCCAGGTTTTCTTCGAATGAAGGCCCTTGGCAATCTCATCCCACCTACTCTCATCATGCGACTCATCCTTGGACTCATCTCCATGTTTGCCGCTCTTTGGGCCTCATTTGTCCTCATTTTCCTTGACTATTCCCGAACAACCAGATGCTGGGTACGTAACTTATTATACTATTCTCTTGAGCACATACTAACTCGAGTAGCTCATCCTGCCCTTCACTATTGGTGTTTATTTCCTTGCGTCTTATCAATACTCACTGGATCCTATCATGGCCCTGATTGGTTACAGCGAGTACACCCCATTCAACTTCTCTCGCATCCGTGAGCCCTACGTACGCAAGCTCATCGCTAAGCGGGCCATGATGGTCTTGGCGGTAACTTTTCTCGTCGATGCCGCCCTCTGTGTTCTCTTCATTCTCGTTCCCGGAAAGCGCCTTTGAGTATCATTCTTCTTCGCACAACATCGCGGTCACTAATGCCGGCCATTACTGGGCCACTCCGATTTCTCTGCATCCGAAGAAGTCATTTCCGCGGGATTTAATTTGGACATCATATCAATATTCACGACTGTAATGATTAGGGAGCCTTTGATTAGGCGGCGATTTGAGTCCAGTCTCTTGATTGAGCACGGGCGTTGCTTTCTGGAGGATCGGCGTACGGAAATCTACTGTTTATTCATCGAGGGTTATTTGTAGTTTAGCTATTCCCGGTCCAGACCACTGATCGTTTTCGTTTCTAGCCATGCGTTTTTTTTTTTTCATTTCAGACCATATCGGGTCAATAGGGCTGCCACAGGGCTGGGAGTTCGTGGCATTATTTAGGGATTCCGGGGGCTAATAAAGGGCGTCGTGTCATCTATTATGTCGTAGTTCTTCGTGATAGATATTTATAAGTTCCGGTACTCAAGTCCCAGGACCTGGATGATGCATTGGGTTCTCATAGCTTGCGCTTGCTTGCCCGTTTCTTCTCCTCCTCTGACTCGTCCACGTCCATGCTGTCGTTGTCCACCAAGTTAACCACGTCCATTACCGACCGCTTGTTGAAGCCTCTTCTGGCCATCGTGTCTCGGCTCATGTTTGGTAAGTCGTACTTCCGTCCTCCAGTTCCATCTTGTTGGTCAAGTATCGCATGCTGCAGTTTTTCGTCGGCAGCGCGCTGTTCGCGTTGTCTTGCAGCTGCTGTCGTTCGGATCTCCTTAATTTGAAGTTCGACACCGCTCAGGGTGGTGGTGCAGCGGTCAGACCATGTCTTAAGAGCGGCTGTCATGTCGGGTATCGCTCCAGGTGCGAGATCACGTAGAGGCGCAACACTTGAGACTTGCACGGTGGCGCGGGCTGCGTCAAGCGTGGCATGGAGCAGTCCAGCGTAGACCGCCGAGATAACCAGATTCTCAACCTCACGTGAACCTGGGAGGTCCAATGAGCCCTGTAGCGCTGTATACGAAAGATTTTGTCGGTCTCTGGCCAGAGAGAGTAGGGAGAGTTGGCGTAGCTTGGTGGCTTGTGCTTCTGCAAGCTCTGGCAGGCCTGGTGTGCTTTTGTAGGAAGAGTATGTCCCATAGGCAAAGGTCTTGAGTAGGGTGAGGTGTGAAGCAAACTCGGAGTCGGCGAGGTTCTGGATGGCAGGTGTTTGGATGAGCTCGCTAAAGAGAAATGTGTTGGGTGCGGATGTTGCTCTGGTGACGAGGTCGGCGGCGGCGCGAGGAGAGGTCGCTGACTTGGATAGAGCCAGGAAGGGCTGTCGTTGATTGTTAGTATTTCAATGATACTCTTTCGCTGGAAGTAGTACCTCTAGCGCGTTGAGAGCCTTTGTCTGTTCCATGTTGAGTCGTGGTTAAGGCTACAGCCTCGTGGGGTGGTTTGATGAATGTAGCAAGCTAAGTACGTAGTACGTCACGATGCGAATAGAACGGGACGATTGCGATGACCACAGTGCTGCTTTTGATTCCTTGCAGCCTTTTACTTCTTGCTACTGTTGGAAGGAGAGTTGTTGAATTGCCGATCGCAAGTCGTCAAAGAAAGTAAGGTAGAGAGAGATACTGTCTGAGATGGGGTTTGTTGGAGCTCCTACATGCAATTCGATAGAGGCTGGACCAGGCAGCATGTGGCGGGCGCGGGGCATGGATGTGGGGTCGAACTTATGGTATTCTTCCAAATATACTTACCCTGTACCCATACATCGTAATCCTCCTGATCATTGACAATGAGTCCTTGACTGGATGACTCTGCTTGTCGATGAAATATTAATGTCCGTTTTCTTAAACAACCAATATAATATGATTTATGACACTTGTGTTAGATTTGGCTTTGACGCTGTTTCAATGGATTCATTCGATGACCCTGTCAGCTGTGTCAGACAAGGAACATAATAACCAGCTTATTATTTATTCACACAAGCGATGTACAGTCACAGGAGAGATATTATTTGCCAATCACTAAAAAATGCAAACGATAGAGCAAGTTTCTAAACGAGCACGTTTATTGACAGCCCATATGGAGTCTCAATGCCTACCTAGTTCAGCCACCGAAGAACACAAAGACAATTGGCGTAGGATATCGTTAGCAAACACCTAAGTTTAGCCACAGATCCCGCTGACGAGATCCAGCATTGGAGTGCTGATGAGCTGTTAAAGAAAGGTATCTTGATTGCAAGCAAAGTCTTTAGCATTACCCCAACACAACGTTCACTGTTCTGAAGGAACGAGTGAATGCCAACCACAGTACCTTGCGATGGATGTCACCGGTCTCACAGAATAGCAAGACATGGCTGGCTGTGTAAAACAGAGGCTGAGACTATACTAGAAATAGACAAGAAGCCCATGCGGAGGTTGGAATAGGCAGCCCGAGGAAATTGAAGAGACTTTGCTGGACTCGATAGCCAGTCGTACGTAGTTGGACAAGCTGAAGTTGCTGAAATGCTAGTATTCACATAGGGCTCCTAGGATGAGTGCTGGTTGGACAGTAACTATGTGCTAATGGCAGTGTGTCCCTCAAATGATCGACACTTGCACCTTTTGAGGACACGAGAGGCGCCATTAGTCTAGGAGGGCCAGCTGATAAGAGACTTGTTTTACAGCTGGTCACCCTTTGACGGCTGGATCCGGAGTAAGATGAGAAAGAAAGAAGGAAAGAAAGAAAGGATAGCAACAGAGATCAATAAGTATAAGTATTAGTAACTTGCGCCTCAATGCAGTGTTTGCACGGATCTCACTTATTCGATTGCCTTTGAAGTGACAAACAAAGTCGGGCCTCTTTGACAGCGGAGCGTTGACCACCCCTGAGCTATCCAGGCTAATCCTGACAGTCTCAGGTTTCAGCACCTATTCATCTCCATTGTTCGGACCCTTCTGAAACATCCTTGCAAGCAAGAATTTCTGGTGCTTGATGAGTCGCAGCTTTCTCGAAATCCCACCAACGAGAGCAGCAATTGCTGACTTGGGTGTCTCCGGAAACCGACCCCAAACTGGAATCTGACCGTTGCAGCCGCCGAGCCAAGAAGTGTTGCGGATGCGATGCCTTTGGTTTTGCGCAAGTTTCCAAGGTGTTTCTCTCGCTAACTGACAGAGAGTGAGTGTTCCGTTTCTTCTTCCCCTGAATCATTAAATCCTTGAAAGGTAGATAAAGCCCTGAGACGCCGTCTCGTGGAATCTTGCTCATGTCATGCCCTTCTATTCTGGCACTGGTGTCATTTTATTTTCTCGTACCCAAGTGGTAGTTTATTTTCTCTTTTCCTTTATTTCGTCTGACTAAACGCCAAGCAGAATACGAAAGACCAGCAATCCACCTACCTACTACGTATTCATCAATCAACCGAAGCAGGTCTTTGTCGTCTTAGCGGCGTGTTCACTATCACTGGCATCAGCTGCTACTCCCACCTTCCGGTCCAGTTGCCTCCGACTTCCCTTTTCAGCCTTTTTGTAGCATCCTTATCTTTTTTCCCCTTTCTCTTCATTTTGTTCTGTCGAACTGTTGTTCGCTTTTTCTTGATTCTCAATTTATTATACGGGCTCGACATGCTTGCGGCTGGACGATCAAGCTAGAGAAGCATTCATTCCATTATTAGCAACCGACCCAACCACCAAACTAGTCTAGTCTAGTCTTTGAGAGTGAGACGAAGGCCTACCTAGCCCAACTGCCGTGTCTCCCGCTCTGCGTTGTGATTAACAACCTTCATCAAAACCCCATCACCTTCTGGATCGGCGCGCAACACATTCACCATCCTCGAGACGAGGCTCATGAGCCATAGCCTATCGCCATGGCTCCCGCATATATTAAAGTCCCTTCCAAGGACAGCGACAATGTCGCACTCTCCGTACCCAGAAGTCCAGGCGCCGGCGCCCATTTCGCTACAACAACACTTCGCGTGGACGGCATGACGTGAGTACAGCTATAGCCCTATCTTAGAATGTCTCCGGCCATACCGAGACCCATTTATGCAGTCGTGCTCGGTCTTTGCGGCCCCGATTTTAGAAATGCGTACCGACCATGGCAAAGGATATGATATTAACATTTATTCTTCTACAGGTGCGGTGCCTGTACTTCTGCTGTTGAAGCTGGCTTCAAAGGTGTTGATGGTGTCGGAAATGTCTCAGTCAGCCTAGTTATGGAGCGCGCAGTCATAATGCATGACCCTCAAGTCATCTCCGCCGATGATATTAGAGAAATTATCGAAGACCGAGGTTTCGACGCCGAGGTGCTTACTACCGACCTCCCGAGCCCTGTCGCTAAGCGCTTTATCGACCAAAACGTCAACGACGATGACAATGACTTTATTACGACTACCATTGCCATCGAAGGCATGACATGCGGCGCCTGTACATCGGCTATTGATGGTGGATTCAAGGATGTTCCTGGCATCAAATCCTTCAGCATCTCTTTGCTCTCCGAAAGAGCCGTTATCGAGCACGATCCCGATCTCCTTACAGCAGAACAAATTGCCGAAATTATTGACGACCGCGGATTTGAAGCTACAATTGTCGAATCTGGCAAGGTAGTAGCCGACAAGGCTGGAAAGGATGCTGGAGGCGTTGGAAACATTGCTATCACGACCGTTGCTATCGAAGGCATGACATGTGGTGCTTGCACAGCGGCTGTCGAGGGTGGATTCAAAGGCGTGGATGGCGTCCTGAAATTCAACATCAGTTTGCTCGCGGAAAGAGCCGTTATTACACACGACGTCACCAAGCTCTCCCCGGATCAAATAGCAGACATAATCGACGATCGAGGCTTTGATCCGGAGGTTCTTTCTACTCAGGCTGCAACCGATCACCAAAGCGGGTCATCATCTACTGTACAGTTTAGAGTCTATGGCGTGCCCGACGCAGCAGCAGCGGAGAACCTGGAGGCTGCGTTGGCGGCCATGCATGGCGTCGATACCGTTTCGCTACGCCTTGCTTCGTCACGCCTCACGGTCACCCACCAGTCGGGTGTCATTGGTCTGCGCGCCATCGCTGAAGCCGTCGAGGCCAAGGGATACAATGCGCTCGTTGCCGAAAACCAGGACAACAGCGCGCAGCTCGAGTCCCTAGCCAAGACGAGAGAGATTGGTGAATGGCGAACGGCTTTTCGAGTGTCGTTGGCTTTCGCCCTTCCTGTTCTTATCATCGGCATGATTTTGCCTATGTGCGCACCGTCTCTAGATTTCGGAAAGCTCGAGCTAATTCCCGGATTGTTTCTTGGTGATACTATCTGTTTGGTCCTTACAATCCCCGTTCAATTCGGTATTGGAAAGCGCTTTTACATCTCAGCATGGAAGTCACTCAAACACCGCTCTCCAACAATGGACGTTCTCGTCATCCTCGGCACATCCTGCGCCTTCTTTTACAGTATTTTGACAATGCTGGTTTCACTAATAATGCCCCCTCACAGCAGGCCTGGCACCATCTTCGATACTAGTACCATGCTTCTTACCTTTGTCACTCTTGGTCGCTACCTTGAAAGCAGTGCTAAGGGTCAGACCTCAAGGGCCCTTTCGCGTCTGATGTCCCTTGCTCCCTCTATGGCTACGATATACGTTGACCCAATCGCTGCCGAGAAGGCTGCCGAAGCATGGGACAAGGACCCCAGTACCCCAAAGACCCCTAGGCTGGGCGGTTCAGCTCAAGAGGAGAAGTGCGTCCCTACCGAACTCTTGCAAGTAGGTGATATTGTGATCCTTCGACCCGGTGATAAGCTCCCCGCCGACGGTGTTTTGGTTCGAGGTGAGACCTTTGTCGATGAGAGTATGGTTACTGGTGAGGCGATGCCCGTTCAAAAACGAGTAGGTGATAACGTCATTGGCGGAACAGTCAATGGCGATGGTCGAGTAGACTTCCGAGTCACTCGGGCTGGTCGTGATACTCAGCTCAGTCAGATCGTCAAGCTTGTGCAGGATGCGCAAACTACGCGTGCGCCCATTCAGCGACTTGCCGACACCCTTGCTGGTTATTTCGTCCCCATGATTCTTATCCTCGGTTTCTCTACCTTCCTCTGCTGGATGGTTCTCAGCCATGTTCTCTCAAACCCACCTAAGATATTCCTCCAGGATTCAAGCGGCGGCAAGATCATGGTTTGCGTTAAGCTTTGCATCTCCGTCATCGTTTTTGCATGCCCTTGCGCCCTGGGTCTAGCCACACCCACAGCCGTTATGGTTGGCACTGGCGTTGGTGCTGAAAATGGTATTCTGATCAAGGGTGGTGCTGCTCTCGAAAGAGCCACAAAAGTGACACAGGTTGTTTTCGACAAGACCGGTACTATCACCCATGGCAAGATGAGCGTTGTTGAGTCAGTCCTTGAAACTGGCTGGTCTGATAATGAGTGGCGTCGTCGGCTATGGTGGGCCATTGTTGGCCTTTCTGAGATGGGCAGTGAACACCCTATTGGCAAAGCTATTGTCGCTGGAGCCCGTCGCGAGCTCGATGTTGAGGTTGACGGTGTCGTCGAAGGAAGCGTTGGCGAGTTCAAGGTTACTGTTGGCAAGGGTATCAACGCTCTGGTTGAGCCTGCGTCAGCTGTTGATCGTAATCGTTATCGTGCGCTGATTGGCAATGTGACCTTTTTGCAGAACAACGGTATTGAAGTTCCTGAGGATGTCATCGAAGCGTCTGAGCGCGTCGACTCGGGCGCGAACAAGGCCGGCACACCCGCAACTGGCACCACCTACATCTTTGTGGCCATTGATGGCAAATACAGCGGTCATCTCGCTTTGGCCGATTCCATCAAGGAGGGTGCAGCAGCTACCGTCTATGTCCTCCATAAGATGGGTATCAAGACCGCCATCATCACCGGCGATCAGCGCTCTACTGCTCTCAGTGTTGCTGCCGCTGTAGGAATCTCACCAGAAAATGTCTACGCCAGCGTGAGCCCCGACCAGAAGCAGGCTATTGTTAAGGAAATTCAGTCACAAGGCGAGGTTGTCGCCATGGTAGGCGATGGTATCAACGACTCTCCTGCGCTTGCAACTGCAGATATTGGTATTGCCATGGCGAGCGGTACAGACGTTGCCATGGAAGCTGCCGACATGGTGCTCATGCGCCCAACGGACCTGATGGATATTCCATCAGCGCTGCACCTCACCCGTTATATTTTCCGCCGCATCAAGCTGAACTTGGCTTGGGCGTGCATGTACAACGTTATCGGTCTACCCATAGCTATGGGTTTCTTCCTTCCCGTCGGCTTCCATATGCATCCCATGATGGCTGGTTTCGCCATGGCGAGTAGCAGTGTCAGCGTCGTTGTGAGCAGTATTATGCTCAAGTTCTGGAAGCGACCTCGCTGGATGGACGAGGCTGCCGCAGAACAACGTGGCGGTCTTCACTGGAAGAGTGGAAGAGGCGTTATTGGCTGGATGCGAGAGATGCTGGGTAAGAGGAGGGTTAAGAAGGAGGAGGGATACGTACCCCTGCAGAATCTGGATTCGGAAGCATAAGTTTTGTTTTGTCTAGCGATGGAGTAATGATGGAGTAGTAAATATGTCGATTCATTTGCCAATGATATCCTAGAGTGAAAATAAGAGCATATTGACATATATATTCGTTATCGTTTATGGAGTTGAGGATTTACCTGTTCATTAGTTGCAGATGGGTTTGCAGTTCTTGAGATATTTTGTACTATGTATGCGAGTTGAGATGTACTCAATCATGTCTAGTGCTCGCACTTGATTGTCTGTATACACTCTGACGTGTTAAAGCGCAAGGGCCGTCCGAACTACCGAGCCCTACATAATCGAGATGCCTGTAGGCGTGCTCATTCATGTGGGCGGCCCCTTGAAGTTCACTGTATCAGTATCTTGCCTCACTTTGGTAGGAGATTCAGACTAGCCAGTCTGAGGATTGAAGCAAGGGCGAAGATCAAATGGAATGCAGATGTTTCAGAGACGATGAGCCAGCCGTACATAAACAAGGAGAATGAATGGAAGAATGAAGGGTTCAGTAATGAAGTTATGCATCAGGGTCTTACAACACCGTATATTTAGGGAAAAATGAGCATCGGCAGTTCCCAAACTAGACGAGATTGATGTTGCAATAAAGCTGACAATACAACGCTGTAGGATTGTCACTTTGTTATCTCACTAGTCCAGACTAGATTATTACCAGCCACAGCTGAGGTTGTAAATAAACTATGTTAGGTAGATAATTATGCTTCTTTCAAAAAGGCTACAGCAGTATGTAACTCACGCCACACAGCCTGTCAAATGCACAGTTAAGCAAGGGTTTTGAGGAATTCTGCAAGGGCACGACGCCTCAAAAAAGGTAGACTTGTCTCAAAGACCCTTGCACCTAGAAACTGACTTTAAATCTGTTTTTTGTTAAACAACCTCGGATGGCTTCTTGTCCGACTTACTGTGACAGACTGACCAATGCTCAGGGGCTTGGTTGTTGTCCCGCTGGAATTCTGATACAGCCAAGTTTGGATGGACTATCGACTTTGGCGGGTTTTGCAACTTGTCTATTTGATCAGCTAGGCGTCGCTGGTGGATGGAGCTGTTAGGATATGAAAAATGGATAACGGCGCGGATCATTCCAGTCACTTTGTTATGTATGCATTCGCCAAGACTATTCAAAACCTGTTGAGGGCGTTTGGGTTTGAAACGACGCGCCATCTTTTTAAGTAACCGCCTTATTTTCTCCTTTCTTTGTGTGCGTGTGCGTGCTTGCTGAATCTGTTGCCTGATGAGGTGCTCAATACCGTTGTTGTCAAAGCGATGCGATACGAAACGACACACTTACCCAGACGACTTGTGTCAGATGCGTAACGTAACCTCGTGTTCTATAAACAGAGTCTCATAGAAAGAAGCATTGCCAAGTGCCCCATTGTCACTGAAGAACTGTGCAGTTTTCCGTTGGCCTACGTAACTATGTATTGCGTATTCTGTGATAGGCGATATGTTCCATACCCGGTTCTTGGCTCGTTTCACGACAACGCGGCTCAATACGTACGGTACAGTTTGTACGGCTACAAGTCCAACTAAGCTAAACAGGAATGACGTGCCTTTTCTCGCTTGTAATACTGTACTAGAGATTGAGTTGAGTCCACATGAGATCCGTGCTGTAAGGCGGGTGTCAAGAATACTACCGGTACTTGCATGTACGAATAATCTATCTACTGTGTACCTGGCAGAACCTTGGTGTAGCTGATTACGCTGGAGTATCGATATCCACTTGTACCCGGGTTTTCCACATCAATGTCAAGTTTGAGAGTCAACAGCAGTCTACCCAGTCAAGTCTCGGCCTATCTACTGGAGTTGGATTCGGTTCAGTTTATTGACGCCTCCTTCGTTAGTCTTTACAATCTGCCCTACTGCTGTCCAATCCAGAGACTTGCTAGAATTGTCAACACAAGTCGATATGATTGGCTTGCAATGTAGTAGTAGTATTCCTAGTGTGCTGTTGGAGGGATACCCCCGCCCCCTTTTTGATTGCGGTCCTTCAGCTCTGTAGAACCCCTGGACTTGACCAGACTTGAATGAACGAGACAAAAAAGATCGCGTTCCAGAGGAACTAACTAGGGAAAAGGGCAAACGATACATCCTACATAATACCAGCCCTCGATAAACTTCAGCCTCCTCGGAGAATGTGTTGTTGTCGACGAGTGAATTGAGTTTATGATATGTTAATTCTCTAGGAGACAGATAGCACTTGAACGATCTACAACGGTTGAATAGTGGGCTGAGATGCCTTACAGAAATCTATACTTTAATGGTAATGAAAAGGTCTCTACAGTGTTCGACCTCGACTAGTATTTAGTGTTAGGTCGAATTCCCTAGATAGATCGAGAAAGAATTAGTTATTCCATGCAGGAACACTATCATTTATTGACTCAGCTGTCAACTTCAGCCGCTGGTAGGATGCCAATGCTGACAGTTGGTCTACACCCGCCACAGGTACTTTGATGCAGTGTATCTTTAGGTATCTCCCGCCTGCCGGTTGTGCCCCACCTCCACTTTCCAGGCCAAGGCCCCCCCGCCATTGAACCACTGAAGCCCGAAAGTGCCCGGCCATACCTAAATGATGATTGCTTCTAATGCAATCTTCGGCCTATCCATGAGGAAGGAAGGTACTGACTGTGCATGTACAGTAAGCCGTTGTCCTTTTTTGGCTTGCTTTCTCCCTAAATTAATCCTCCCTTTTTTTGGCGTCTGATAAATCTCGTACTTGGATCACCTCCTTTTAACTTAACCCTTTTGTCCTCCTTTTTATCGAAAAATCCTCTTCTCTCCCTATTCTACTTTCTTCTCTTTTTTTTTGTATTGCGTAACTGACGCATTTCCCACAGTTATCAGTGCTTGGATCCAGGTACAATTTTGTCTGTGCCTTGTTTGGTCATTCCCGTCTGGTCTCCATCTTCATCTCCTTGTCTGGGTCCAATCGCTCGCTTTCATCCAATCCATACCTTACCCATCACTAAACTTATTACGCGCGCCTCCGCCCCCTTCGCCCTTCGGTTGGCCCCTGTATTTTCTTCGCTTCCCACTCTCCGTGTTACATTTCCACTTTGCAACTACAATTACCACTTCAACCACGACTCGGCCGCAGTCTTTATTTGCATCGCATCCCGTCGATAATCGACTGTGCTTGCGAACTAATTAGTCGACTCGTTGTTATCTACCTGGACTCGATTCTTGGTTATGCTTGAGACTTGACGATAGCATCTATTGCGACATCTCTTGTTCTGTTCGATCCACAATACCATCCCCGCGAAAACGAAAACCGGCGCATACCGCAACGCCAACCATGTCTTCCCGTCCGCATAACGAGGAGCCTCTCCCGCTCCTCTCCGCTGAGGAGAGAGATCGTGATATGAAGGGCGAGCTCGATGTCGAGGGCGCTGCTGGTCGCGCTGAGCCTCCCAAGAACAACAACCTCGAGCACGAGTACTCCATTCCTAGTACCGTCAAGTTCGCATGGCTCGGAACCTACTTCTTCTTCTCCCTGCTCTTGACTCTGTACAACAAGCTGGTCCTCGGAATGGTAAGTTATTGACCTCAACTACAGGTGTCTTTCATCAAAGAGCCCGTACTGACATGCGATTCCTTTAGTTCCACTTCCCGTGGCTCCTTACTTTCCTCCACGCTTCTTTCGCCAGTACTGGCACATATCTCATGATGCAGATGGGTTACTTCAAGCTCTCTCGACTGGGACGCCGTGAGAACCTCGCTCTCGTCGCTTTCAGCGCTCTCTTTACTGCCAACATCGCTGTCTCCAACCTGTCTCTAGCCATGGTTTCCGTTCCCTTCTACCAGACCATGCGCATGCTGTGCCCGATCTTCACCATTCTCATCTACCGTGTCTACTACGGCCGTACCTACAGCTACATGACCTACCTTTCTCTCCTTCCCCTTATTATCGGTGCTGCCATGACCACTCTCGGTGAGATGAGCTTCACTGATGCTGGTTTCCTTCTCACCATTCTCGGAGTTGTTCTCGCCGCTCTCAAGGTATGCTCGGAACCATTGCATAAATCTGATTAATACTGACCAAATGCAGACTGTTGTCACCAACCGATTCATGACTGGCTCTCTTGCTCTTCCCCCAATTGAGTTCCTCCTCCGCATGTCTCCTCTCGCCGCTCTACAGGCTCTGGCCTGCGCCACTGCCACCGGTGAAGTCAGCGGCTTCCACAAGCTCATCACCTCCGGAGACGTTGCTCTCCCTCCCGCCTTCGCCTCGCTCTTCGGCAACGGTTTCCTCGCTCTACTCCTCAACATCTCGTCGTTCAACACCAACAAGCTTGCCGGTGCCTTGACCATGACTGTTTGCGGTAACCTCAAGCAATGCTTGACCGTCGCCCTTGGTATCTTCCTCTTCGATGTGACTGTCGACCTGCTTAACGGTGCTGGTATGGCCGTCACTATGCTTGGAGCTGCTATCTACAGCAAGGCCGAGCTTGACAACAAGAACCGAAAGAGCCAACAAGCTGCCGCTGCCGCTGCCGCTGCCTACAAGCCCGTCGAGCAGCAGTCTCGGTAAAATGGGCGTTCCGCTGAGAATCTGACGTTGTCGTTTTTTATACATGAACTTTCTATAGACGACCGGGCGAGTTGAGACAGGCAACGGCGAACTTTTTATTTATTTGGCGTCTTGCTTTGCTTCTTGGGTTAGTGGGGACCGATATCTGCATAAGCTATGCTGTACTTGATAGTCAGACGTTCCCGCAGGCTTACTCAATGAAGCAAGAAAGGGAGAGGATTGGAGAACAAGAGATGTTATTACTATCATGATCATGGGCTATGGGTGTTTCGAAAATATGCAGGTCCAGGTTTGCTGCGGCCTTTTCTATACAACGTTTGTTGTTTCACTTTTCTTGAATAGGGTTTGCAATTCCAGAGTAAGAATAGATGCTCTATGTTAATACCTGCGTCATTGTATTTGTAGTAAAGTCGTTCATCATGCGCAAAATTTTAAAGAAGACCTTTTTTATTCATTATGA